TAGACGTCAAATTGTACATATTTCAAACTACAAGTCATACGGCATACACGTACCTTCAGGCGTCCCGCAGGGCTCACATCTAGGACCACTACTTTTTAATATATTTGTAAACGATATTAAATCCTGTTTTCATTTTGGTAAATTCCTTTTATTTGCAGATGATCTCAAACTGTACTCTACAGTATCATCTGACCTTCACTGTGTGTCATTGCAGTCTGATTTAGACAACTTAGTCAATTGGTGTGACTTAAATGGAATGAGCCTAAATTCGGATAAATGTAATGTTATCATATTCCATCGAACTCGTGATACAATTAATTTTCAATATACAATCAGTGCCAATATCTTGGAGAACTGCAATATTATTAGAGATCTAGGGGTCAACTTTGACTCACAACTATCTTTTGTTCCACATATTTCAAATATTATCAACAAATCTCTACAGATGTTAGGATTTCTAAAAAGAACTACTCAGGATTTCACAAACATCAACACACTTAAAATCTTATATTGTTCTTTAGTTAGAACTCATTTAGAATACGCTTCATGTGTTTGGTCCCCAAACTATGTCTCACATATTGTCAAATTAGAAAGAGTCCAGCATAAGTTCTTACGTTATGTGGCCTTTAAGCAGGGTATTGGAGTCGAAGATATTAACTACTCTAAATTGGAGACAGATTTGAATATCCAATCTATTAATAGCCGTCGAAACAAGAAAGATTTCATAATGTTATATAACATATTTAATTCTCGAGTACCGTGTCCTCAATTGTTGCAAGAGATAGGAATTCACGTCCCACCCAGGACAACCCGCTCAGCGAACATTTTTCAAATACCCTTCCACAGGACGAATTATGGACGTAATACCTTCATTGTTCGTTCTGCTAGGTTCGCAAATACTTACCGTGCTGACCTCGATTTCTTTAGCTCCGTCAGCTCATTTATGGAGACTCTCAGGGGTGCAGTTTAGTATAAGGTATTGTAATGGTACTTATTAAAGGTGTATTTTTACTTACTTTTTATAAATGTACTTTATTAACTGTACTATAGTACTATTTGTATTTTATCTATTTTAACTATTATTTGTATTATTTAATTTGTAACTTTATTTTATTAATCGAAATTATACTGTGTAATGCTATACATAACATTGTATTTAACTAAAAGGGGAATGTCCCGTTTATATATATAAATAAATAAACACACACAAACACACACAAACACACACAAACACACACAAACACACACAAACACACACAAACACACACAAACACACACAAACACACAAACACACACAAACACACACAAACACGCACAAACACACACAAACACACACAAACACACACAAACACACACAAACACACACAAACACACACAAACACACACAAACACACACAAACACACACAAACACACACAAACACACACAAACACACACAAACACACACAAACACACACACAAACACACACACAAACACACACACAAACACACACACAAACACACACACAAACACACACAAACACACACAAACACACACAAATACACACAAACACACACAAACACACACAAACACACACAAACACACACAAACACACACAAACACACACATACACACACACACACATACACACACACACACACACACACACACACACACACACACACACACACACACACACACACACACACACACACACACACACACATACATACATACATACACACACATACATACATACACACACCTTCACACATATACACACACATACACACACATGCACACACATGCGCACACATGCACACACATGCACATACCTACACGCATGCACGCGTGAATAAAACAAATTAATAACTTAGTCGTTAACTATTGCGGATGTATAAAAATAAATAAAAATTAATAATAGATATACTAGAAGATACTACGTATATTGGAATTCGCTTAGATTTTTAATGAAGATAACATTTTTTTTTAATTCTATTTTAACCTTTTCTGGGCAACCTTAATACTAATTGTTCTAACACTTACCAAACGTTTTTAGGGGTAATACGACTGGTTAGTTAACAATACTGGCAATGATAATAGCATAATAAATATTAGTTTAAATTTTCGAACTATTATATGATATTTATATAAAAAAATCAAGTACGTACTAGATTAGATTATAGCCCAACAAGCCAATGCACATTTTTCTGATAACGATTGGATCTTTATCTTGAAAGCATCTAAAAACATTCTACTTTACCAAATGGGCACCTGTGCCAATCCCTATCCTGAGTAAAGTGGTTAAAAATATATATTCAAAAAATCACATAAAAAAATATATTTTATATTCATAAGAATTACACCGGTAATTTTGTTTACCCTAAAAGATTTCCAGAAAATAACATATTATTATTTAAATATATCTTGGATACATCGTTAATGGGAAACATTTTCTTTCTTTTAACATCGCATAAAAATATCTATCCACGATAATTAGGTAAAAATCATTAAAAATGTGAATGAATTTTTGCCGATTTGAAAATTTATTTGTATACTTATTGTTGTGATTTATTTTTACAGGTTGTCATAGAGACGACAAAAAATTACTGTGATTATAGTTTAATCTTAATTATATGATAACCACGTCCGCATAGACCACATATGTAGTAACGCCTCTGGTGTTACACACGCCACTGTATTTTCTGTATTTTTAAGAACCATTCATTTAATTCAAATAAAACTAATAGTATTACACCACCTCAAAAACAATTAGGTATTCAGTAAACCCTTCGAATATTAAAATGTATTTATTATTAGGAGCTGTCATAGTTTATGCCACCATTAAATTTATTAGAAATAAGAATAAACCAAATTTACCGACATCCCAACTCAAAAAAGAAGAAGAAGAAGAAACTATAAAAGAAAGTCAACCACTTGAAGCCCCCAGTCCAATTTCAATGGCATTTTTCACTCCGTAAAATATGGGCAGGTCCAAGGGTGGAGGAGTTATGATCGATGACCCCATATACCTTTTACAGGAAAACGATATATGGTTGCCGGCAGCGTAAATGAACCTCTGTGAACTGTGTGTGAATTGCTGACTCTATTTTTTTCCCTAGCAACATTTTAATAAAATAAAGGCAGTTTGATTTCATAGCTTGTAACGATAAGTAATAAAAATTCTTTTTAAAAATATTTCTCTTAACGAGAGACTTATAAGTGGCGCAGTAAGTAGGATTTTCGTCGAAAAAATCCGTAGGTTTTAACTCTTTAACGAAAAACTGATTCCAATTAAGAAATTTCAGTTCCTTTGAGCTTTATCGAGGAAACCAGTGTGCAACAGAAAAAGTACCAGCCGCAGAAGCAAGATACCGATTTGGTAAGTTTTAATTCATGTCAGACTTCTCTTCTCCTAGCGAATCCTTAAGCGGAATCTATAGTATAGAAGAATTAGATTATATCAATAATATATTAGATTCAACTAACGTAGATTCCATGTAGATTCAGAGCTAATAAATAATTTTAATAATTTAATTATTGTTAAAAACATGATCGTGCCTGTATAAGACATGAAAAGTCTGAGTGTTATTCCAACTTTTGACGATTGAAAGTGTTCTATCTGACTCAATAATTAAAAAAACAGATGCGTGGTTTATTAATATGGCTGTACAATATACCAATGCAGAATATACCGATATGTTACTGACATTAGGATTTTGTGAAGGAAATGCTCGAGAGAGTATCAGGGTGTACTCTGAAAGGTTTCCAAATCGTCGTGTACCTAGCCACCCAACTTTTGCTGCTGTTGAGAGACGTCTTCGGGAGACCGGTTCCTTTGCTCCCAACACTGTTGATAATGGAAGAGAATGTTTTGTAAGGATTCCTGAAGTTGAAGAAGACATTTTAGAACGTGTTAAAGAATATCCAGAATTAAGCACCACACGAATTGGAAGGGAACTAGGAGTAATTAAAGATGTCGTTCATAAAGTGCTTAGAGAACAATTGCTATATCCATACCATAAGAAGCCAGTACAAAAATTATTAGTCCATGATCCTCAAATTTGTTTGGGTTTTTGTCGATTTGTTAATATGCAAAGAGAAAGAGATCCAAACTTTGTCAAGAAGGTTCTCTTTACCGATGAAGCGGGTTTTACAAGAATAGGTATAACTAATACCCATAGTGAACATGTTTATGCCGTTGAAAATCCGCATGCAATAAAGGTAAATCATTTTCAGCACGAATTCAAAATTAATGTGTGGGCTGGAATAATTGGTAATTTCATTGTTGGTCCTGTCATACTTTCACGAAGATTAACTGGAGAAAATTATTTGGATTTTCTTCAAAATACGTTGCCAGAATTGTTAAAAGATTTACCTCTCCAACTTCGGAGAGATATGTGGGTTATGCAAGATGCTCCACCACATTTTTCTTTAAACGTTAGAAACCACTTGAATGAACAATATCCACACAAATGGATAGGCAGAGGTAATGATGCACCTGTAAACTGGCCACCACGTTCCCCAGACCTAACACCGATGGATTACTTTTTATGAGGACATCTGAAATCCACAGTTTACAAGCAGGGCCGCCGAGAGCCAGGCCGGGCCCCAGGACAATTTTCTAGATCGGGCCCCGTGAACGAACTTTTCCTCCACTACTTCAGTTAAAATTTCTAAAAAAAAAACCAAAAACTTCCCCCTCTCACCTTGTGTCGAATTTCTCATACAAAACAAAAAAAATTCAGTTTAGTTGTCGGGCACCCTTTATACCGCTGCTGGTCCCCCATTTGAGTCCGGGCCCCGGGAATTAGTCCCGGCTACTCCCCCCCCCCCTCCAGTCGGCCCTGTTTACAGGGAACCTAAAGAAAATAAAGAAAATGAGGAACAACTCTGGCAACGTATTCAAGATGCAATAAACAATCTTAGAGGTGATGAAGAAGTTATGAAAAGGATACATTTTAATTTTTTTCGACGTATAAATCTTTGTATGCGTGAAAGTGGTGACCATTTTGAACAATTTTTGTAAAATCTCTATTTTGATTATGTTGTAAATAAATATTTTTGTGAAACCTATACACTTTAAATTATTAGAACAGAAATTTAGCGAAAACCATGAGAGTAATCGAGTCTTATCAGGAGTACCTTTTTTAAAGTAAATGAGTTGCGCAATCTAAATTTCATACTCAAACTCCTTTTCTTCCATTGGCGTAGAATTTTTAAAGGTGCAATTATTTAAAAAATCAAGTTCTACGCCTATGTATTATTATCAGACAAAATTTTAATATCATTTTTTTTGCCACATAAAACTCTACCAATATACCAAATTTCAGCAAAATCGCATATGTCGTTTTAAATTTATATGGGAAAAACGATTTAAAAATTGTAACTTCTAAGGAATATGTGGTATGTTTTTGTAAAGACCTTTTACAGACACCCTGTATATCCCTAGTATTTGAAGTTATGAGAAAATCTTTCAAAAATTCAGCTTATAAATTAATTCAATGTAAGATTCTATTAAGCAACATAATCGACAAAGACAAACAACACGAAATAATTAGGCATTTTCACGAAGGTAAAACAAACCATCGTGGAGTACTTGAAACAGAGACAAGATTAAAACAGACCAAGTTATAAAAATGACGTTATCGAATTTATTATTCATTGTGAAATATGTCAATCTACGAAATATGATCTAAATCCTCCAAAACAAAAATTAATGATAACCCCTACACTTTCTAAACAGTTTGAGATTATTTACATTGATGGATTCTCAGCACAAGGGTAAAAATATTTAACTGTAATTGATACCTTTTCAAAATATGGGCAAGCATACCCACTTGCAGTATTGACAGGGATAGAAATTATTAAAGGTCTTTTAATTTTAATGACACATCATGGTTCACCTAGTCTAATTACGAGTATAATGGACAATGGAAGTGAATTAAAAAACTCAATGCTTCAGGAACTTTTAGATGTTTATAAAATTAAAAGTCATTATGTTTCACCCAATAGTTCTCAGTCAAAGGCGCAATCGAGCGTTTACATTCAACAATCATTAAACATTTAAGAATTATTAAAGCAAAAAATAATGGTAAAATTGACATTTTAAATGATATGCCTTATGCTATTTTCGGATATAATAATTCTATACACTCTGTGACTAAACAAAAACCAATTGACGTTGATTACAAAGATTTTTTTGATATCGACATTAATCACAAATTAATTAACAATTACATTTAGGAACATAGGGAGACCACAATCGAAATTTACAAAAAATTAAATGAGAAACTAATCTCGCAAAAAGAAAGGACAATGGGATATTACAATAAAGATCGACATGAACCACTAACGTACATACCTGACACTGACGTTTACACAAAAAATACAACGCAAGTCAGAAACAAGTTAAATCCAAAATTCTATAAGGTAAAGTTTTTGATAATGAAAGTAATAAAATAAAAACTCATAAAAAGGCTTTATTACATAAACAAATGCTTAAAAGACCAAAACTAACAAGACAAAACTTTTATATGACGCCACTGATTCTAATGATCCTGGTCCCTCTACAAGTAAGGCCTCAAGAGATACAATTGACGAACCTAATTAATATTCCTGGTATCCTTCCCTATCTTTTAAGCACAGTTAAAAAAAAAAAAAGCACATTTAAAATCAATGGTACATACGTTTCTCCATTATTTTGACTTAACACATATAAAAAATGAAATTGAAATTTTAAAAGGACCACGCACTTTTCTTTTGCAAACGGGAGTACCGTCAAAATGTCTGAATTTTTGATATGTTAAATAACTTGATGTCCTCATCAAAAGTGTCAATAGGCCCAATCGTATCCTATGACTAGATTTTGAGATACTGTTTTAGATTAAGAATATACCCCTTGTACTATTTGCAAAGGGAGAAAAAATCGTACTTACAGGGTGTTCGCGGTTGAATATGTAAGTTAAATCAACAAAATGTTGGAATTGTTGCCAAAAAATAGAAAATAATTATTGTTCATCAAAAAAATAGTATGTCCATATAAAGGGCCATACTTTATTTCGGTACAAAATAGTATATTATGCAACGATCATGTAATGATGGTTATTAATACATGAGCATTAACCGGGATACGAAACGAGCCAAAGGCGAGTTT